TTTGAGATTGATGAATATGTAATAGATTTTGTAGTTATAACCATGTAATAGATTTTTTATGGCTTTTGGTGTAATGTTATATTTCTATAACTTTGTAAGACCCTTTTGGAATTATTAGTCCTCCTTATATCTAATGATATAACCTTGTGATAGTTTTTTTACAGCACAAACTTAAAATGTGGTTTTCAAACAATTAGGTTTTTAAAATACTTTTCAACTTTTAGAGATGAAGTTGATATCTACTATAAAATTTTTAATTTCATTCTATAAACTTATATGTTTCTCATTGGTTTGTTATTTTGGTTCCCAACATAGTTAAAGGGAACGGTGTCCCTATTAGAATATTATACTATATAATAGAATATTACACCTCATAACATAATTTCAGAAATGTGGTTTTCAAACTATCAGGTTTTTAAAATACTTTTCAACTTTTAGAGACGAAGTTGATATCTATTCTAAAAACTTTCATTTCATTCTATAAACTTATATGGTTCTCATTGGTTTGAAAAATTTGTTATTTTGGTTTTCAAGATACTTAAAGGGAAGGGTGCCCTGAATTAGAATATTACATCTTAGAACATAATTTCAGAATATTATACATTAACATTAGAAAATTTTGTTTTCTGTAAATTATTTTGATTTCCAATAAATTATTCTAGATATTCTCGTTACATTATAAATTTTGAAATCAGAATATTATATATAATATTAATATCTTACATAATATAAGCTCATTGTACACATTGGAACATAATTTTAAAATATTATACTTTAATACTAGATTAAACACAATTTTATAATATTAAATATTAAAAATACAATATTAAATATTAAACATTTAAAATAACCAGAATAATAACAATAATAACACATCAATGAGTATTAAAAAGCCTAAATTTAATTAGACATTATTCTATTAAAATATTTTACATATAACTAAGAATATCCCAGAACATTATTCATATTATTCTACATGAATAAACAACCTACGACATTATTCTATTAGAATATTCTACATATGCACATTAATTACGTCTTATTAACATTCCATATAAATTTAATATGTGGAAGTTCTTCTAACATTACTATATTAGAATATTATGCGTATATATTTTTAAAAACTTATTATTTTAAAAGGGTATGTTACATAAAAACTTATGCAATCCGTCAACATATACATTATTCTGATATATTATTTAACATGAACAAACAACATATAACATTATTCAATTATAATATTTTACATATGCAATTAATTAGGTCTAAAATGTAGAATGTATTCTAGCATTACTATATTAGAGTATTCTACATATACATTAATTTAAAATACTTATTATTATAAAACGGTATTTACATAAACATTTATGAAATATGACAATATATAACATTATTCTAATAGAATATTTGACATGAATAGATAGCCTATGTTTTGGTCAAAAAAACAAACAATCAATAATCAACCAAATTATATGAGAGGTTGTGATGTTCATGGTAAAGTAAGTATAGGATGATGATCAAAGTGACACAAGTGATTTACAAGGAAAGCACTTGATCATTGTTAGGATCTCCGACATAAAACCTTGGGAGGTGATAATGATCACCTGCTTTGATGATTTTATTGATTGAAAATGTTGATTATAGAGATGAATGTGTAAATGTAAGTACAAGTATCGTGGATAAGCTACGTGTATCCGTTATGTGTGTAATACAACTGTTATTTATAGTC